GCTGAACCCCGCTGCGATGTTACTCTAGAACGGACGGCAAAAAAGACCACCAATTTTACCTCATCGTGAACCGAGGCGTAGCGTGGGAGAGAGGCTTTTATTATATGACCGGTTTTATTGCTTAAATTCTACTTGGCTGGTACGACTTCCTTTCATCGCGCCCATCATTTGTCTGGTATATCTAGCGTTTGTTTGTTTCTCCTGTGTTTGGTTTGTTCCTCATTTGTTTTGTGAGTTACTAACAGTCGTGTTCTCGCTGTCGATGGTGCACGCTATGTGCTAACAAATAAATAAATAAATTTCCCAGCGTCGATGAGCAAGACAGCTGCCAAAATCATTCATGAACCCACTTACACTCACAGAGCATTGTTTCAGAACGTCACTCTCAGTAGTGGATATCTCTGCACGTGCGAAGTAATCCAAGTTATCCACCTAAAAATAATTTCAGGTTGGCTCTGCTAATCTAACTTCACAGGGAATTGTCCTAAGGAACTCATATCAAGGAAAATAATAAATGAAGAGTAACACTTCCAAGTATTCGAGGTCTACGCCCATACTTTGCGTCAGCGTTCCAAGCGTATGGCTTCGAGAGAGCGTAGTGACTAGGAAAGTATAGGTATCGATCTAGCATTTTGACCGTACGCCGGCGCTTTGAGCGTTTTTGCGGGCAGCTTGGGTTGTTGACTGGGACAGTCGCTGAAAACGCTGACGTACGCTCAAATCGCTGGCAGACGCTCGAAGGCTCAAAACTGACGGAATATATGAACGAAGGCTGAGAAAGATGGAACACATTAGTGGTCTGTGACTACCTTATAACTGCCGTTGCTACAGGTCTTGTGATTTCTTGCCAAGTAATCGCAAAGGCGTCGCCGCAAAGTAGGTCCAAAACCAATATCAGTTCTCAACCGTTTTTCCCTCATCTGAAGCAATTTCAGTTTAAAAATAACAGTAGAGATTCACATTAAAAGTATTTACACATTCCATAAGGACAGCTTGTCATGCGGACTAAAACTCCACAGAACCCACGAGAGGTTGGAACTGTCAGACCCCAAGTAATGCTCTATTCGATGAAGGGGTTGACACAGGCAAAAAGGTAAAGGTATGCCACTGTTCACCTTCAAAAGCAAAGCGCGCTACCACGGATGGCGGGTAACGGAGCAATTACGAACGACAGTGCTAGGTATGTGGTTAGGCTGCGTTTATACTTTGCGGCAGCGTAGCGTAGCGCTTCCAGCGTACGCCAGCGGCAGTGCCGGGGAAAGGATAGATATCGATCTAGCGTTCACCAGCGTACGCTAGCGTGCCGCTAGCGCACGCCAGCGCACGCTGGCGTAGCGAGGGCACGGGAAGCATAGCTATCGATCTAGCTTCACCAGCGTTTCTCCAGCGTTTTCCCAGCGCTTGCAGCGACGGGGCTAGAGAGGGGCTAGAGAGTATTGAAGGGAGGAGAGTATTTTGTACTCTCCTACATTCAATACTCTCTAGCCCCTCTCTAGCCCCGTCGCTGCAAGCGCTAGCGGGGCTAGAGAGTATTGAAAGTAGGAGAGTACAAAATACTCTCCTCCCTTCAATACTCTCTAGCCCCTCTCTAGCCCCGTCGCTGCAAGCCCTGGGAAAACGCTGGAGAAACGCTGGTGAAGCTAGATCGATAGCTATGCTTCCCGTGCCCTCGATAGCTATGCTTCCCGTGCCTCCGCGTGCGCTAGCGGCACGCTAGATCGATATCTATCCTTTCCCCGACACTGCCGCTGGCGTACGCTGGAAGCGCTACGCTACGCTGCCGCAAAGTATAAACGGAGCCTTGGTGAGGAAAAGGAGCAGAAAACGAGCAGAAAACAAGTCCGAAACGCCCTAAATAGGACTCCATGCTGGCCCCAACTTGAAAGTACACGCAATGAAGAGAACGGGTTCTGCTTAGAGCCACTGACGCTGGGACACGGGACTAACGGACACTCATGGGCCTAAGTGGTCCGCTTACAGCGGAATCTTGCATTTTAATAGTACGCGCCTCCTCAAACATCGCCTACCGATCACATGACACATCTGAGAGAGAGAGAGAGTATAGCCTTATTTTATCGCGGAATGTGCCTTTAAATGCCTCCTTTTCAAAATGTAGGTCGGAGTCGAGACTGCTCGGGGTAGATACTGCATAATTAGTCCGTAGAGTATATAGTACGCTAAACAAGAATATATAACAATATTTGTGCAAGAATGCCTCGCGCTCGCGTCGATTCCTTGATCTCAAGAAGAGATACCCATTCTCATCAGCTGCAGCTTTCACAAGAAAAAAAAGTTCGTTGAAGACTGTAAGGAAAAGCTGTTCTAGACATTTCCGAAACTGAGAACAGTATCCCCCCCCTATTCCTTCAACTACTACAGACCGTTAAACGTTGTGGTCACTTGCCGTTTACCTGTTCGTAAATATAACAATCGAGGATTTTTTTGCCAATTTCATCGCCGAGCATAATTTCCAAATACAACACTTTTGCAAGTGTACAGTCTCTTTTTGCAGTAACCTTTACGAACTGGGCTGTAGCAACTCCGCTCACCTTGACTTCATCAACCGTGTCCGTTTCTGGTAACACGCTATCCCATTCCACACTGTTCGCGACAGCACGGCATTTCGATATGTCCCTTTTCGACAATTTTGGGATGAAAGACATTCTTCGGAATTTATTTGTCGTTTGTGGGAACCACATGCGAAATGGGCGATCCTCGTCCATCTGCAATTCTCGTGTAAGCAGGTGGCACAGAAAGGAATTACACAACCACTTACTTGTACTGCTTTCGTCCCTTCTAACCGTACATCATGAAGATGATATACCTTATGAAATGCAGTGGTGCGAGCTCTTTCAGCCTTCTCGTAGAATAGAGAACGGTGAGATATTAATAATTTCGCGACTAAGGCGACGTTGAGACGAAAGAAACTGAAAAGAGAATAATTCAAAACTCATAATGCGTCATACTCTGCATCAGCGTTTTGAGCGCGCTGGATGGATATGTACAGGGGGGGGCAAAAAAGGCACTTTTCTTCATTGACTTTCGAGGTGCTTTCAAGTTATACTTTATTAAAATCTATCAGATCATTTCTTACACCTATAATTAGGAAAAGCATATGGAAATACTATTCGATGATATGGTTCTTCAAGCTTACTCAGGCCTTCCTGGAACGATGCGCGCCTCGATCGAGAGATTCGTGGACGACGTAGCCCGAGTGGGTTGCCGAGGATCAGCGAGAAGTCGATTGGCCACCGTGAGACCACCCTACTTGCAGACTCCATTCCATGTGGTGCCCATCCAACGCTGTAGCCCAGGTACCAAAGTTTTTAAGAAGGTACGGGCGACGACATGTGAGGAGGATATTCTTCACGAGTTGCTCAATGTAACCGCTAGCGCTCACCTTCAGTCCGGGGTCCACGAAGAAAATATCGGTCTTTCCATTGTATTAGGTTGTCCGGAAAGTTCTCAGCGTTTGGGTGTTTCACTTTGAACGATCGTAATTACCCATCGGATTTAATCGAAATAGGCACCATTCGAATCAGCACACTTTTGCCAATGTGACAGCAGTCGAGAAATCCCATCAAAGTAAAAAACTGGGTGGTCGAAAATTCACGAAATCCACGAAGGCTTTTTTGCCTGGTCCTGATTGATGAAGTATTTTCCAGCAAGGGAGTTCTGAAAATGTTAGAAAAGGTGATAGTCGATTGGCGAAAGGTCTGAAGAATATGGCGGTGAGGTAACTTCATGTGAACGTGTGGGCGGCGCGTTGTCATGCAAAAGAATCGGACCCTTTCTGTTGACAAGTGCTGGCTGCAGCTGACGCAATTTTCGGTACATTTCGTCGATTTCTTCACAGTAGGACTCTGCTGTGATGGTTTGGCCTGGTGACAAAGTTGACCTGGAACCTCGGTGGTTCGTCGAAATCCAACCACTGTCCGGAACGTCTCCTGTTATCATACATGACCCATTTTTCATCACAGGTGACAATTCGGTCCAAAAACGGGTCGTTTCTGTTGCGCAAAAGCAGTGAAGAAGAAACCTCGAGACGTGCCGATTCCTGCCGGTCACTCCGATTGTGGGGCACCCAATTGTCGAGTTTTTTCACCTTCCCAATGCGTTCCAGACCATCTGCAACAGTGGATTTGCCAAGGCCTAGCTCTTCTGCTATCTCTCGAACTGTTTGGGATGGGTCAGCCTTCAAAATCCCCCTAAAATCCTCGTCAGATATTGCTTTAGGTCGACCGCTATGAGGGTTCATCTTCAAGGTTGGCAAATAAGATCATCAAAATCTCCTTATAAATCCGCATCTTCAAGGCTGAAATCTCCAGAACGAAATTTGTTGAGCCATTGCCGCACAGTGCTTTCTCTAGCACTATTGGGCCCCACACCTGGTTAATTTGTTGAGCTGTTTCGATTGCGGATTGCCCCAATTTATAGTCGAAGAAAAAAATCGTCCGAAGTGCTCTTTTCACATGCTTGAAAAATCTTGAAAAAAGGGGTTTATCAAGCAATGGTGAAACGGCAATTATACCATCAGATAGCGCAAGAAATTCTCTACAGGATGTGCTACTGAGAAGCAAGGCAGAATGAGTTTTTAATCAGCAGTGAATGTACAAAAAATAGGTGCACAAAACGCTGAGAACTTTCCGGACAACCTAATACGTACATCTTAGTATCATACATCAACCGCCCCGGGGGCCCCTTGGGGCGGGGACTGTGGTGCAAGATGATCGTCACTGCGACCGGTGGCGACGTTGTCGGAGCTGCTCGATGTTGGAGGTCTTCCAGATCGAGAGTACTGGTCTCCAGGTAGCTATCCATGGGTGACTCCATACTAGAAGTTTCGCAGCTGTTTGGAGGTGACATGAATTCCAAAGGTCTCTCTTCAGTCAGGCTGCGACTGGAGATGACTTCATATTTTGGTACTAAAGGGATGGACAGAGCCAGCTCCCGCTTAGTCAGGGGAAACATCTTGGTATCTTCGCCTTGCGTACCCGTATCCACGTCTTCTCTCTGGGCAGCGAAAACTTTGCTGATATGTGACTCGGTCAAAATGTCTTTTTTTGCCCCCCCCCCCTGTATACCTTCCTAGTTGCCGAAACCTTCAACTATGGCATAGACTCAAAACGCAGACGCAATCTATGAACGCAATCTCAGAGACGTTAAACTGATAGTGGGCCCTTGAGCTCGTTCTCAGCGAACATATACCTTCATCTCACGATTTCGTTCATCACTATCGTAGTCCCAATCGTCATTATCATTCCACCTGCGACCAAACTAAAACAAAACTCGATCACTTTCCGAGAAATCAGGCTTGAAGGCGACGGCAGAAAGACTCACAAGGGTCTCATTAGACGAGCGAATAATCCATGACCCGTCCATGGCTAAATCAGAATATTAGACCAGAAATTCAAGCTGGACACACGAAACCTTGAACATACCTTATAGTCGCACATTTAAGCGACGTTGCGCTTGTAAAAAACTGAAATATTATTTCTCGTAGCATAAACGTCTCAACAAATTCACGTTTTACAAGCACCGAACTTCATGATAACAGCCTTGTTGAGAAGTTTTCATTGAAAACTGGCACGATCGATTTCAATCAAAAGGATAACAGTAAGGGAAACATTCGTAGCATTTACCGTAGAACGAATCATTTCATACCGTAGTTCGCTGCGGATGAAGGGGCGTGTCAGGTAGTTTTGGTGTGCCACGGGACCAAAACCGTTCTTTTCCAGTCGTTGAAGCTGGTATGCGATAACAGCTGGTAGAGTGATATGAACGAAATGATAGTCTTGTCTCTTTCAACAACTGGTGAAGAACGTGTTTGGCAACGCACAGTCTTGTCTCTTTCAACAACTGGTGAAGAACGTGTTTGGCAACGCACCAAACTCATCCCGCCTGACGGCCCCTTCCGTCCGTAGCGAATAGAGCATGCCGTATCGCCAAGAGATATAGTGCCAGAAACAAGTTACTCAACAAAATTTTCAGGGAATTGGAACTACCAAAGTAAAGGACACAACTGGTTTTCATCTGGTTGAGCATTCAAAAACGATCATTGTTTGTCGTTTTCTTGATGTGAAGCTCGGAGTACGGATTGTGTATGGTCCGTAGTTGCACTAAATGCTGAGAGAAGAGAGGGAGAGAGAGAGGATGGAACAAAGAAGAGCTTAGGAAGAAATTTGGGAGCAACGCTAGCGTTCTGAGCGGAAAAGAAAGTATGGGTATCGATCGAGCGAAGAGAAACACCTTCGCCGATTACGCGGAGCCGCAGACTGTGAACAATCCTAAGCGGACCACTACCTAGTACAACCCTACAGCCCCCGGGATGATGACAAATACTAAAAATCGCGGTGATACCGCTGAAACAACCGAACACAACCAACGGCAGTCATACAGTAAACAAGCGCTGCGACAGCGAGAACGATAATCAATTCGCGCTACTGCCTAGTACAGACAAGTATAACAATGGCTAATCACTTTCCATTCAGAATCCTCATTCCCAGTGCCTCCGACTTGGTGATAATTAGGGCTGTACGAAAGAAGGAGGGTTGGTGAGTAATCAGCAAGGTCATAGAACCATAAACATTGGTCCCCACAACTGCCGCATCCATCTTGCGAATGAATCACCAAAGCTCCTTCTTTCTATGACTGAACGAAACAACGAACAGCTCTGAAGTGGAGCGCTCGGTCGCTGATTTTCAGCCCTCCCCTCGCTTCATGCCCCCCCCCATAATCAAGCGTTCGCGAACATTCGGTGAAAAGTATAAAACACGGGCTACAGGTCGTTTGGCGCGATCTCTTTGCAAGCGACATGTCAAAACATGCCAGGTAAGTCTTCCAGGTAGGAGCAAATCGTCCGAAAAATTCTATGGCATTTTCCTAGGAGACCGTGATCAGAGGGCTTGGCTGATAAACATGAGCACCGAGGACAGGACTTACGAGTTTATGTACCAAGAAATATAACCCTGTAAACAAGCTCGAAAAGTTGTACCGGACGAGTTATCCAAACTCTGAAGGCGCGTAGCCTTACTTGTCCGAGCATGTAAACCGGCAATGTGATCGCGCCAAACGACCGCCTTCCACACCCATAGAGGTGTGTGTGTCAGGAAGGGCACATCGCTGTTGGCAAGTCCCAATAGGGGGGGGGTCGTATTTGGGCTGGGAAAAATTTATTTTGATAGTTGATTTTTCTCGCTTCACGGACGTTGTAAGGAGGGGGGTCGTACTTGGTCATTGTTGGGAGGGGGTCGTATTTACGTTTTGGCGTTGTAGGAGTGGTGGTTGTAATTTTCCTGTTTCATGCGTACTATATGTCCCCTCCCCTTCCCCCCACCCCCCTCGATTCGATGAGGAGGAACAGAGGGCTGGAGCGGGGAGGGGGTAGTACCAACCCCCAAAAAAGGGTTGACTCGACTAAAATCCCCAGACATTGATGTGCCCTGGTGTCAGGACTTACCACCGCGCTCGAAACTAGATCGCCGCGCTGGGAAGTGGGTCACCGCGCGCGGCGATTACATGCTTTAACATGTTTGCATGTTTGAACATGTCTACCTGTTTGGACATGTTCTTGGCAGATGGAAGATGAGGAAAGAAAGAACGCTCCAAGCAAACTGCGATAGGGTCATATTGATCGGAAGTTGGCAAAATGCCAGGTCAGGACTCACCGCCGCGCCACGCGAACAGGTCGCCGCGCGCGGTGACCTAGTTTCGAGCGCGGCGG